TCAGTTCTAGTTCAGTTCTAGTTCAGTTCTAGTTCAGTTCTAGTTCAGTTCTAGTTCAGTTCTAGTTCAGTTCTAGTTAGTTCTAGTTCAGTTCTAGTTCAGTTCTAGTTCAGTTCTAGTTCAGTTCTAGTTCAGTTCTAGTTCAGTTCTAGTTCAGTTCTAGTTCAGTTCTAGTTCAGTTCTAGTTCAGTTCTAGTTCAGTTCTAGTTCAGTTCTAGTTCAGTTCTAGTTCAGTTCTAGTTCAGTTCTAGTTCAGTTCTAGTTCAGTTCTAGTTCAGTTCTAGTTCAGTTCTAGTTCAGTTCTAGTTCAGTTCTAGTTCAGTTCTAGTTCAGTTCTAGTTCAGTTCTAGTTCAGTTCTAGTTCAGTTCTAGTTCAGTTCTAGTTCAGTTCTAGTTCAGTTCTAGTTCAGTTCTAGTTCAGTTCTAGTTCAGTTCTAGTTCAGTTCTAGTTCTAGTTCAGTTCTAGTTCTAGTTCAGTTCTAGTTCAGTTCTAGTTCAGTTCTAGTTCAGTTCTAGTTCAGTTCTAGTTCAGTTCTAGTTCAGTTCTAGTTCAGTTCTAGTTCAGTTCTAGTTCAGTTCTAGTTCAGTTCTAGTTCAGTTCTAGTTCAGTTCTAGTTCAGTTCTCAGTTCTAGTTCAGTTCTAGTTCAGTTCTAGTTCAGTTCAGTTTTGTTCAGTTCTAGTTCAGTTCTAGTTCAGTTCTAGTTCAGTTCTAGTTCAGTTCTAGTTCAGTTCTAGTTCAGTTCTAGTTCAGTTCTAGTTCAGTTCTAGTTAAGTTCTAGTTCTAGTTCAGTTCTAGTTCAGCTCTAGTTCAGTTCTAGTTCAGTTCTACTTCAGCTCTAGTTCAGTTCTAGTTCAGTTCTAGTTCAGTTCTAGTTCAGTTCTAGTTCAGTTCTAGTTCAGTTCTAGTTTAGTTCTAGTTCAGTTCTAGTTCAGTTCTAGTTCAGTTCTAGTTCAGTTCTAGTTCAGTTCTAGTTCAGTTCTAGTTCAGTTCTAGTTCAGTTCTAGTTCAGTTCTAGTTCAGTTCTAGTTCAGTTCTAGTTCAGTTCTAGTTCAGTTCTAGTTCAGTTCTAGTTCAGTTCTAGTTCAGTTCTAGTTCAGTTCTAGTTCAGTTCTAGTTCAGTTCTAGTTCAGTTCTAGTTCAGTTCTAGTTCAGTTCTAGTTCAGTTCTAGTTCAGTTCTAGTTCAGTTCTAGTTCAGTTCTAGTTCAGTTCTAGTTCAGTTCTAGTTCAGTTCTAGTTCAGTTCTAGTTCAGTTCTAGTTCAGTTCTAGTTCAGTTCTAGTTCAGTTCTAGTTCAGTTCTAGTTCAGTTCTAGTTCAGTTCTAGTTCAGTTCTAGTTCAGTTCTAGTTCAGTTCTAGTTCAGTTCTAGTTCAGTTCAGTTCTAGTTCAGTTCTAGTTCAGTTCTAGTTCAGTTCTAGTTCAGTTCTAGTTCAGTTCTAGTTCAGTTCTAGTTCAGTTCTAGTTCAGTTCTAGTTCAGTTCTAGTTCAGTTCTAGTTCAGTTCTAGTTCAGTTCTAGTTCAGTTCTAGTTCAGTTCTAGTTCAGTTCTAGTTCAGTTCTAGTTCAGTTCTTGTTCAGTTCTAGTTCAGTTCTAGTTCAGTTCTAGTTCAGTTCTAGTTCAGTTCTATTTCAGTTCTAGTTCTATTTCAGTTCTTGTTCTATTTCAGTTCTAGTTCAATTCTAGTTCAGTTCTAGTACAGTTCTAGTTCAGTTCTAGTTCAGTTCTAGTTCAGTTCTAGTTCAGTTCTAGTTGAGTTCTAGTTCAGTTCTAGTTCAGTTCTAGTTCAGTTCTAGTTCAGATCTAGTTCAGTTCTAGTTCAGTTCTAGTTCAGTTCTAGTTAAGTTCTAGTTCAGTTCTAGTTCAGCTCTAGTTCAGTTCTAGTTCAGTTCTACTTCAGCTCTAGTTCAGTTCTAGTTCAGTTCTAGTTCAGTTCTAGTTCAGTTCTAGTTCAGTTCTAGTTCAGTTCTAGTTCAGTTCTAGTTCAGTTCTAGTTCAGTTCTTAGTTCTAGTTCAGTTCTAGTTCAGTTCTAGTTCAGTTCTAGTTCAGTTCTAGTTCAGTTCTAGTTCAGTTCTAGTTCAGTTCTAGTTCAGTTTCTAGTTCAGTTCTAGTTCAGTTCTAGTTCAGTTCTAGTTCAGTTCTAGTTCAGTTCTAGTTCAGTTCTAGTTCAGTTTCTAGTTCAGTTCTAGTTCAGTTCTAGTTCAGTTCTAGTTCAGTTCTAGTTCAGTTCTAGTTCAGTTTCTAGTTCAGTTCTAGTTCAGTTCTATTTCAGTTCTATTTCAGTTCTAGTTTCAGTTCTAGTTCAGTTCTAGTTCAGTTCTAGTTCAGTTCTAGTTCAGTTCTAGTTCAGTTCTAGTTCAGTTCTAGTTCAGTTCTAGTTCATAGTTCTAGTTCAGTTCTAGTTCAGTTCTAGTTCAGTTCTAGTTCAGTTCTAGTTCAGTTCTAGTTCAGTTCTAGTTCAGTTCTAGTTCAGTTCTAGTTCAGTTCTTCAGTTCTAGTTCAGTTCGAGTTCAGTTTCTAGTTCAGTTCTAGTTCAGTTCTAGTTCAGTTCTAGTTCAGTTCTAGTCAGTTCTAGTTCAGTTCTAGTTCAGTTCTAGTTCAGTTCTGTCAGTTTCTAGTTCAGTTCTAGTTCAGTCTAGTTCAGTTCTAGTTCAGTTCTAGTCAGTTTATTTCAGTTCTAGTTCAGTTCTAGTTCAGTTCTAGTTCATTTCTAGTTCAGTTCTAGTTCAGTCTAGTTTCAGTTGCTTATTCAGTTCCTAGTCTTTGCAGTTCTGTTCTATTTAAGTTCTAGTCAAAAAAATAGTTCAGTTCTAGTTCAGTTTCGAGTTTCAGTTTCAGTTCGAGTTCTAGTTCTTAGTTCTAGTTCCAGTCTAGTTCAGTTCTAGTTCAGTTACTCGTCAGTTCTAGTTCAGTTGCTAGTTTCAGTTCTAGTGTCAGTCTAGTTCAGTTGCTCGTTCAGTCTAGTTCAGATCTTCTAGTTCTAGTTCAGTTCTATTGTTCAGTTCTTAGTCATTAATAGTTCAGTTCTATGTTCAGTTCTAGTTCAGTCTAGTTCTAGTTCAGTTCTAGTTCAGTTCTAGTTCTAGTTCAGTTCTATTTCAGTTCTAGTTCAGTTCTAGTTCAGTTCTAGTTCAGTTCTAGTTCAGTTCTAGTTCAGTTCTAGTTCAGTTCTAGTTCAGTTCTAGTTCAGTTCTAGTTCAGTTCTAGTTCAGTTCTAGTTCAGTTCTAGTTCAGTTCTTTTCTGTTCTAGTTGATTTCTAGTTTAGTTCTCGTTAATTTCCAGCTCAGTACATTCATTCAAAATGCGTTCAACATATGATGATCATCAAGTATTCACAAATCTTTCAAATTAAAAAATCCCAGAATTTATATTATTTCGATATCTAGAGAATTGTAGGCATTTTATTAAACATCTCCCCAATAGTTTCTTCATTTACCTAATCCAAACTATGATTACCATCAAACTTCGTTACAGCTGTAACTAGTAAACCTCATTTAATTTTTGGTTTTGATTTCATACGGTATTTTATTTGACAAATTACTATCTTTAAACACCGCAAATATTAAAAACCAAACAATAAACATTCTTAGCAATTTGATAGTCTATTGACAGCTGGCATTTGCAGCGAAAAAATAACGACCTCCAACTTTTATTTTCGCAAAAAAAGATATTTCCAAATTGCCCTCGTGCCCATAGATACATACGTTTTTTTAGACCTACACACATTCACAAGCTCATAAATATTGACTAATGGAAACATTCAACGAACTTAAACTGCCTTAACTAGAGACTCAGCATATACTAACTGTTAGAATACCATTTTAGCTGTTAGATTGTTTGACAATGTTTCTTTTTTCAACATTTAGTATTTTTGCTGAAATTGTCTCGTCTGGCCATTGCGTGTTAAGAGCTTTTTTTTCTGTTTTTTAGTTGTTTGGCCCGGATTATATAACATGTGTTGTCGGTTGTTGACTAGTATGACCAAACACGACTTTTATGACACCAATTTAATTAGTCTAACTGCTGCTAGTTGTCGGAGTTCTTATTATTCATGTTCAATTTTTGTTAGTTTTCATTTTGTTGTTTCTGTTTTTTTCGTTTTAATTGAACAAATTAGTTTGCCTGCATATTGTTTTTGGTCATTCACATTTTAATTTAAGTGCAAAAAAAGAAAGAAAGAAAGCAATAAATTTTATCATTAGGGAGTTGAGGCAGGTATTTTGCGGTTTAATTAAATTGTAACTAAATATTTAATGGTCGGAAGTGTCTTTTTAGTGTGATGAAGTTTTTTTATTTAATTTTAATATTTTTTATATTGTACTTCTTATTATCTGTGAAACTGTAGATAATCAGTATCGATTTTAGTAAAACTTGGATATTATGCTAAACAATCGGTCATTGGAGACAGTTTTTGCCTTCGTTATGAGACACTTTTTTGATATGATCTTATTAGCTTTCTCCACAATAATGTTTTGTCTATTTATGGTCTTTGTCATGTTCGGATATGGTGCATCCATATGATCCATGATCCAACAGATCCTTTCCCTCTCCCTATAAGTTCTTCTCTTTATGAAACAGATATGTTTGTATAACTCAGCTGATCTTACTTACTATTACATACTTAATTTAAATTGAACCTTTTATAAAATATTAAAATTATACCTATTTACCACAGATTAATCTGAAGTGTATCTCAATTTAGTTCAATGCACTAAATACTACATATAGTACTTGATACCCGATAATGATGAGTGGGTATACATTTTTAACTACACACCTACAATCTGATTTACTATAAACTGAAACAGCAATAACAATATGTTGCATGGTAGACAACAACAAATGGATAACAACAATATTATAATTAAAAACTACAACAATGAAAACAACGATAACTATCAATTAATATGTTTGAAAATCAAAATAAGAATTTAGAAAAATTATTAAATAGCAACAAGAAAAACAACACACAAAATAGCACAATACAACAAGTCAAAAGAAAATCATAGTGTTCAACAAATTAAAAAAAATATAAAATAATTAACTAACCTCTTAAAACAAAGCAACAAACAAGTATTATTTATTAAATAAAATAGAAAAAAAAAACAACAAACACACCATAATTTAATAACTCCCCAGAGAACGTAAAAGTGAGAACACAAATTAGCAAACAAAAAAATAACTGTAAAATTCACCACCACCACCACCCTAAATACAACTTCACCTTTATTAAACGCCTCAAAATCGAAAATGAAAAACAAAACGAACAACAATTGCATTTAGTTGACTAGAAATGCTGCTGATTGGTGCCCTAGCATTGGGTTTAGTAGAGTCAACAAATTCAAATTTGGGCATCAATAGTTTAAGTTACAGTACAGTGGCCAGCAGCAGTGGTAGTGGCAGTGGTAGCAGCAGCAGTGGAGGTATTGGTCTTGGCATTGAAGGCGGTGATGGTGTTATTAACTCTGTGATCGAAACAGCAGCAGCTGCAGCAGCAGGTGTTGGTGGTGTCAGCAGTAGCAGTAGTAGCTCCTCCAGTGGAGGAGTTTCTTCGGCCGTCTCAATATTTTCCCAACCCACAATGAATGCAGTCACCGGTCATGGTAGTGGCGGAGGTGCGATTGGCGTTGGTGGTATGATTGTTACAAGTTCTAATACTGGCGGTGCCTTATCCTGGGACAACAATGCCACCATACGTTCAGCCACTACGGGCGACTGGTCAATTGAACAGTGCATTATATGGCAGCGACCCCACCACATGTATTTTCAATTAGGAAATGCCTTTTTACTTTTGGCTTTTCTGGCACCACATCGACCGTTTGGCATTCTGTGGTTGCGTGCAATGCTCGTAATCGGAGCCATTCTGCTGGCCATGTATGGCTATTTGATTGATTGCGCCCAAGATGTTGTGCTGTGGTCGTCGTTATTTTTTGGGGTTAACACGATTTACCTGATAGCAGCATTATGTCGCCTGCGACCCGTGCGCTTCGATAGAGAAATTGACGCAGTAAGTTTGTAAATATTATTATAATTATTATGTATTACTATTTCTATTATATTTTCTTCTTGTTCTTAGTTATTAATGTGTGTATTTTATGTAAATTTTTCTACTTTTTTTAATTAATTAAATATTTGTTAAACGTTAAGTACTGTAGCAACTGTCCAAATATTAAACTTATGTTTTTTATTCCCAAGATGGATTAATTCATGTTCATATGTCAACTACTTTATTTGTTGTTGTTGTTGTTTCTTTATTTATTTAATAAATAAATGAGTCTTCGTCATTGTGTGTAGGAGTTAAACTCGTAATCATTTTGTCAACAAGTAGAGGTAACACCTTAAAAAAAGCAATAAGTATCTCAAGGTTATTATATAGTTTTTTTTTGTTTAAACAGAAATGATACAAATGAAATTAAAATGTGTTGTTTTCCATTAGTTTGTAACATTTTATTTGTTACACAGTGTATGATCCTAAAAGTATGCACATGTTTTGTGTGTTTATTAAATAGTTACGCTTGACACTCGTTTAACGTGTATGATTTAATTGAATATGATAGATAGATAGATAGATAGATAGATAGATAGATAGATAGATAGATAGATAGATAGATAGATAGATAGATAGATAGATAGATAGATAGATAGATAGATAGATAGATAGATAGATAGATGGATAGATAGATAGATAGATAGATAGATAGATAGATAGATAGATAGATAGATAGATAGATAGATAGATAGATAGATAGATAGATAGATAGATAGATATAGATAGATAGATAGATAGATAGATGTGTTTTACTGTCAAAACGCCATATAAAAAAATCTACCGAGCCTGAACAATTGTTTTCTCCTTTTTAATTTTTACCGATTGCATGCACCAAAAAATATGCAATTATGAGATAAACAGTTTTTACTGGTGGTGTCAACAATATATTTTTATAAGCGTTTAAAATTTTAACATAAACAGCAGAAAGAAAAGTAAATACATAGATTGTTTTTAATTTTTATTTGTATAATGCTTGAAGCAGAAAATTAGGAAATATAAATGTAAAATGAACTTAAAAGAGTTGTTTCCAATTTGTTTATAATTAAAAAATTTCTTTGAAACTAAATTTGTAATAGTTTTTATATAGTGCATTGATAACAACACAAGCATTTGTAGTTTTTAATAGATGACCTTTGTTTTGACCCCAAAATAGTTTACAAACGATTCTATTTATAAGTTAAATTCTTAAAACAAATTTTCAAAATTGTAAAATGACAACAACCCTTTGTTAAATATACATTCTAGAATTTTGAAATTCTAAGGGTCAAACAAATATGCGGGCTATATTTACATACTTTCTAAAGATCTTTTTATAAATTCAAACACAAAGTTGTAGTTTTTCAGATAAAGTTAAATATGTATTTGGTTTTTAAATAATGAAGAAAAAAAAACACAAATATTACATACAATTTACTTAAAATCTAAATCGTTCAATATATTTTATATATAAAAAATTCTTTATAAATTACTAAACTACTAGCTAGAAAATTCGTTTTGTTTTAGTTTTTTAATAATTCACTAAAACTAAGTATAAATATATTCATGTAAGGGATAAGTAAAACATGTATAGATTTTAAAAAAAATAACGGTATAATTTGAAAATGATATGCCTTATATGTAAACTACTTTTCATTTGTGTGTTTTAGTTTTCATTTACATATGTCGTTCGATTACATTTTGAGATATCACAGATCTACGAATTAGTTATGTATTTTATTTACTTTTTTTTTTGTAAAAGATGAGGAATAATTTAAGAAGTGATAGGGTGGAGAAATGAATTCATTAATGAAAAATACATGTTTTTTTTTAATATAAATAATACTTATAAGAATTATTAAAAACTAATGGAAATTTACAATGTTTTTTTTTGTTGAAATACTTAAAATTTTGGAAAGAAAAAATGCAGAAAATGAATTTTTTAAAAAAGGGTGGAATAAAAAAAATTTACTAACTACAGCTAATAATTTAGTTTGTTTTCTGTGTAATTTTCAAAAATATATTTGGCATTTACACTTAATTCCTTTAAATGATGATTGTGTAAAGCTAATAATTTTGAAAATTTTCCAATTAAAAAAAGAATTAAATATAAAATAAAATACTTAGCTAAAAAATGCAGAATGTTTTTTGGTATATGATATTTTTGTGGTAGATTGAATTTTTTTCTTTACGTTTAAAACAATTTTTAAGGTACAAATATTTGTTTTAAAAAAAGCAGAGCTTAAGTATAAATAATTTTAAATTAATTGAAAAAATCAACATTATTAGTTAAATTAAATTTCAATTAATATTTAATTATATAGCCTGCTTAAAATTTGTTTGTTGCTTTCTTTAAAACTTACAAATTTGATTTGTTTTAAAAAACAAATTAATAAACTATAGATATTTGTAATTGTCCAGCAATATAATACAATTGTAAACAACTGGCCGCCATAGTAATCATATTACCAATGGCCACTGTCATATGGATACGACGAAATGCCTTGTGTATACGCTGATAATGGGGACATTTCACTAAGTCACCCTGTACCAAACTGCCAATCTCCTTGCCACTACCAATTGTACCCTCAATCTTATATTTTTCATGCATTAAACGTAGCAATGGCGGAGCCAAATACAAACGCACCAATAGCTCAATAGCGCCCGTCAGAGCCAATGAACCCAATTGTATACATTTCGCTAATGACCATGTGTTGAGGAAAAATTTCACATAAAGTATAAGCATTATAATACTGAGCGCTGCATTCATAGCGAAATATTTGGGAAATAATATCTGTTGACATTGGCCAAACATGTGGCGAGGCAATGAAAAATATAATGAAAGCCCTGTAATGAAAAGAAAATGGAAAATTTTATTATTAGTATTATTGCATTATTTTAAACCGCATTTTGAAATATTATTTTACAATATGTTGTGCATCAGAGTGAAATCAGGGTTGTTGTCAGTTTATTTTTATGAACTACATACAAATTTGTTTGTTTGTATAGAAGAATATATTGAAATGATAAATTTGTAAAATGTTTCCTAAGGAGGTCACTTATACATATAGTAACAGTAATGATAATTTTAGTAAGAGTTTTAAAAAGTAGATATTTCTAAAAATTATTTATAAAAAATAGCTTTTTTACTTGCATTTATTAAAAGAAAACAATTTTAGAATTTGAAGAATAACATTTTCGGAAAAAAATCAATTTGAGGAGATTCTTTCTAATAAAATTTTCTTAAAAATAGTTCATATTTTCATTGAATATATTTCTAACGCTTTTTTACGTGTTTGTGATGTTTTGCTTTAGTTACCTACTTGGCATCACTGTTTTCTTATTATAATACAGCAGGGATGGGAAATGGATAGGCATTAGAAATGAAATACTAGGTCAAACGTTTGTTTTTGTGTTTTTCATATGTAAAACTCTAAAGATTGGCAAATCTTATCAGAAATCGGTTCCAAATTAGAAACATTAATCATTTTTATAGTGATTCTATAACTATACCACCGTCTTTCAGCATTTCTTTAAGGAATTCAAAATAGAGAAACAATTTAATAACTGGTGACGTTTGCTTTATTATTTATTAAGAGTGTCATATATTGTAAAAGAGCAATAGCACTTAATTATCCATCTCTGCTGTTTAATAGTTTGTAATGGTATTAGTGAGTAATTTGGTAAATTAATTTAATATTAAATTAAGAGAACTGTTAACTCTAATGATCTGTTTTTAAAAACATTTAAAGAGAAATTAATGTTAAAAATCTGGCAAGCAAATCCGCTTTTATCACTTTCTTTAACACAGAGAGAAATTTTTAGAGCAAATTTCACATTTTAATAAACATTAAGGAGATAAGTTTACGATAAAAAAGAACGAAAATTAAAATTTAGTTTATTTAAAAGCCCAAACTAAAAGTTTAAACTATAAAAACTTTCTTTTAAGATTGATTTACACTAAAAGAACGATTAAAAAATGATAGTGACATTAATTTCCAATAACCTGACTCTGATTTAAAAAAAGGAAACTTTATATTTTATAAAACAATAAACTTACCCGACACAAAAGTCATCCATATTTGAGCACCAAAATGTGTAGAGAAGGCTCCTAAGTAAGCAATCAATGCTAACATATCATTCCTTTTCGCAGGCATCTCTTGTCTATGATTTGACATTGACATGCTTTGCGGATGCTGCTGTTTCAAATATTGTTGTTGACTACTACCAGTGAAGCCGTTATTACTACCATCAATAAGTTCCGGCCAAACAGTTAGCAAAACAAATGTAACAATAGCTATGGCTACAAGATGAGCAGGTTGTGCCGTTTTGGTCAGCAATCTAAAAAATGCAATAGAAGAATGAAAAAATACTGATTAACATTTTTTGCTTAATGCATTATTTATAGGAATCTACGAAGAAATGTAAGAAAGTAATAAAAACTAAATAATGTTTATTGCAATACTAAGCTTTGCAAAGATGAAGATTACTAAATGAAGCATGAATTTCAATTAAAAATTCTAACCAAGTGTCTGCATTTAGCAGCTCGTTTGCTTTGGCTGGCTAGCTGCACTACACCCAGTTTGTTTGAAAATCGTATAGCAACTGGTGTACGTGCGAAAACGCATGCAATTTTTGTATATTCAATGAACTATAATACAACACAAACAGCCAACAAGAAAGACGGACGGACAAATTCCCCTCCCTCGGTACCGCTAAATATGTCGTAATACCGCACCCCAACGAGACTACATCTTCTAATGTCGTTTAACGTTAAATAACGACGTATGCTGGCTGTCTGCTCTGTTGTATAGTGATCTACACTAGTAAATGCACACAAAGATCTCTAGCATAAATGTTAAACGGATCAACGCCAACAAAAACAACGAGTCACATTTTGCATAACACAAGTGTTGTCAAAACATAAGGTGTTAAAATTAGTTTGCATATGCAAAAAAACGCCAAATGTTTTATGGTAAAGATAAAAGTTATCAAAGTTAAAAAATATGCAGGTTTTTATTAGAAAATGTGTTTTATAACTTAATCAACTAGTCAGAAAAAAAAACGCTGTTTTAGCATTACTACTGCTTCACACTTATTAATAAAGTTAATGTATAGACACACTCACAAAAAACTGCAATAAAGAAGTTGTAAAATAACAACTTTTATTGTGTTTTGTTTGTTATTGAACCGATTGTCAACTCTATGACTATAAACCGAAAAAAAACTTAAGAGCTTTTTGTTTTTTAATGGGAACATTGAAATGTGCAACATTTTACAACAAACAAAAAAACTTATTAAACAAAGTATAAAAATTGATAAAGTCCCTCCATACATTTTAGAACTAAAATCACGAATAAAAACTGCACGAGTTTAAAACAAAAAGACACTAAAATGTAATAAAAAAAAAGAAACTTTAACAAAAAATTTCCGTAAATGCAAAAACAAAAAAAAAATGTTAAGGTGTATATTTGTATGGTGTAATTGTAAAACTGCATGGTTATCAGTTCTAGACGTCATTTAATGTCATATTTTAATTGAATAAGAAACGTCACTTTTTTTTTATTTATTAATAGACGAAAAGCATGAAGTATAAAATTTAATAAGAAAAAATTATATAAATTTTATAAAATATAGTTGAACAGTGAATACTATTTAGAAATTTTATTATTGAATAGAAACATTTTCATAAGTGACCTGACATTGTGCATTTTTTAATTATGTTTAATTATAGAATCTTACTCTTGTTTTAAAAGCCGAAAGTCGACTATGTTGTCTTAATCAAGTTGATAAATCGACCGTCTTTTTCTTTAAATCTTTATCTACAAAATAGTTTATTCCACTTATTTCTTATAGGATAGTCGAAAAAAGTGTTAAAACTTTTTTAAAATAGTTGATTATTTTGTAAGAAAAAAATCGAATAAACGAGTTTGTACTTACATAAAAGTCGCAAAAGGTAGAAAACTGCTAAAAGTCTTAAAGTCAACTTTTCATAAATTTCAAAATGTCGACTTTTTATAAACTTTTTCGACTTTTCATAATACTTAATGTTAAAGCCGACTTCTACTCTTGTCTAAAAAGTCAAAGTCGACTATGTTGTCTTAAAAAAGTCAATAAATCAACTTTCTTGCAATAAGTTGGAAAATGTAGGAATCGAATATCGTTTTTAATGAATAAGACTTCACTTTTAGTTTAAAAAATTATTAATACCTTAAGATTTTTAATGTTTTAAATATTTTCATATTTGCTACTTAATTTTTAACAATTAAAAAAATATTAATTATATCTTTATGCTTTTAAATTCACTTAGTTGGCATCACTTTTTCTTATAAAAGAAGAGCAATGAAAAGAAAAGAAAAAAATAACAGCAACTACTAGTACTTCTGCTGCTCTTAGTTGCTAGTTATACACTGCGTAACTGGAAAAAGTTTTTGTTAATTAAAGGTTTGAATGAAATTTAACTATTAAATATTTAAATGTTTATTTTTAATTTCTAAAGCAAATTTTGTGATAAGTTTTCATTATCTCTTATCTCAAAGTGCAACCGCCATAATAGCTGCAAAATAAGCAGGCGGTAAATCCAAAACACTCGAAATTTATTTAAGTAAAGTCAATAAGGTGCAAACATTTTCATTTTATTTTTAACCGACATTTTTTTATGATAATTTATTTCTATTATAATTAACATAATTACACGATTTTAAAGAATGTAACCTAAAACGTGTAACCGCCATGTTTTAAAATTGAAATTTTATCCAAAAAACAAACGTTTTGAAAATTTATAAGATGTAATACATACGATTTTTTAAAACTTTTTTAGGTTAAACAAATTATTTGTTGCAGTCAACTACATTATAATTATCAGTTAATTAAAAAAAATAATTTTTATCTAAACAAATTGTTTATTTGATTATGGCTCTAGCAAATGTTTTATTTTTTTTTACTTTTATTTATTTCCTTGAAAAATTGTGCAATATTTATTTATCTATCTACTCATACAACATTCTTTTGCTATTTGAAATAACGTCATTAAAAACAATAATTTTTTTTAGACGTCATAAGAAAATGCAAGATATTTTTATAGTTAAATTATAAATAAATATTTGGACTTTGAATGCGTTATTTAATATTAAACTATAATATTTAAATTTTAAATAATTTAAAACCCATACAAAAATAGTCTAAAGTCCATTTAATTTATCATTTAATAGTTTTAAATAAATTTAGTTGAAAATTAAATTTTAAATTTTATGATTTTGTTAAAATTTTTAATTTTATTGTTTTTTTTTAAATGGGCGTTTACATTTTATTTGATCTTAAAATTTTCATTAAATTTTCTGACTTGTTGCATTAATGCTTATATGAGCACAATGTGTGTCATGATTGCAAACATTTGTTTTTGGCTCAAGGAAATTTTGCCAACAAGTTTCTTTACAATAATTTTAAACGAAAAAGTAATTATAAATTCACCTTTAAGTATTTTTTGTTATTTAAATAGATTTTCAAAAAGTAATTAATCAATCAAAGTTTTACATTTTTTGCATATTTATTATTAAAATATCAGAAATATATATAACGCTTTTTAAATCTGTGGGAATGAATCAATTAAAAATTTTAAAAGGAATTTTTTAAATAATTTTTAAAATGTTTAAAATTTTTAATATTTTTTTTTAATTTTTTGAAAACATTTTATTTTATAGCTAGTTTTAAATAACACAAAATGGCGCTCTATACAAAAAATGTAAAATACATTTAAAATGGCGTTTAAGAATTTTCTTATTTACATCAAAATTTTTTGATATAAATATATTTAATGTAAACATGTTTATATTTTTTTATTGAAATTGTCTTATCAATAAAATAAATAAAAATTTACACCATTAAAAATAATTCATTGTTTACGCAAGTGTAAGAGAATTTTCCGTAAAATAATAATTTATTACGTATAACAATTATTTATTTATTGTGTTAGCAACAGCAGAAATATTTTGTGTATTTATTTCGAAATTTCAACAAATCGTTTCAAGTTCAAATGAGTGTTTATTATTTGGCACTCAAAGTTAATATGATGCGAAATTAGAAAAAAAAAACACATACAGCTTAGTTTTGCTAACATAAAATTGTTGTAGAGAAGTGTTATTTAATATTTTTCGTAATTGTATAATCAATTTATTTGAAAACTATGAAATTTTAAGATTTTTGTTTAAAAAGTCTTTGAATTAAACTATATTTTCATAAAATTTTAAGTTTTTTTTATAAAATTTTGATATTTTTTTCGATTATAACTTCCAATTTTCAACAATAATGAAGAATTATTTTGAAAATGAATTCGAATTTCTAAAATTTGGTTTATGTATTTTTATAATCTAGAGATTTTCTAAAAGTTCGACATTCAAAATATTCCAAAAGTTCCAAATTCAAAATTTTAGATTCATTATATTTAAAAATGTTGAAATTTTTACTATTAATGACAGTTTAAACAGGATTCTGAATTTATTTTAAATTTATTCCCCTATGGCTGATGAGGTTTAGAAAATGCATTCCTGTTGTGTCCAATAAAATATTATTACAATTTAGGAAAATTTATCTCCAAGTAGGACTCGAACTCGAGCCTGAAGAATATTTAATATTTTTCAAAAATCTATAAATTTATGTTAATAATTTGTTTGAATTTATTAATTTCCTCAATATTAATTAATTATTTATTTAAATTATGAAAATGTTTACTTCAATTCATATTTTTCTTTATTTAAAATTTGCTAAAATTATTCATTACATAAATTTTTAATTTAGCACAAACTTTTTGCTTGTCACCAACTGTATATTACTACTTTACATGTCAAGAGAGCAAACACACACACTCATTCACTTAACAATGCAAGCAAGTTAAGCAACAACAACAATAATAAAAAATAATAATAATAATAAAATGAGGAAAAAAATGTTAAAATTATAAAAATTAAAAGAATGACATAAACTCACGTGTAAATTTTACTGCTTTGTAACCTTCTTATCGCCTGTTGCATTTTAAATGCAAATTCTCTTGTCAACTGGGTACTTTTAGCCAAAATGTCTTCATTGTATATTTTACCCGTAGACAACAACAGTGAACTGTTAGCAACATTAGCATCATTTTCATTACAGTGTCCACTTAAATTTGTGATGGCGTTGCCATTGTCTGTGTTCGAAATTTGTGAAATTTGATGAGGAAATCTTTCGTACAAGTTATTGTTATTGTTATTATTGGAAAAGTCAAATTCATTCAAGGTGGGACGAGGGGTGTTAAGGTTTGTGCTGAAGAAGTTGTTAGCGGCAGTTGTAAATTTGCCATGACCAAAAGGACATTTTGATATAAATCCACTTGTTTGCAATTGTTCTGTTTTATTGTTTTCACTTTTTTGTAGTAAATTTTCTAATGTTTCAATTTCTTGTTGCTGTTGTTTTTGTTTAAACTCTTCATTGGCAGCACGTTTCCGCATGGTATATTTAATAGTTTTAATAATTTTTGTGGGCATACCATTTTCTATGCACTTTTCGATTTGTTCGTTTTCTAATACAGAATTATGGCACATTTTGTTAAATTTTATTTTTTTTTAATAATTGTTACTTTTTAAAATTTTATTAAACATAAAGCACTTTTTAACTGTTACTTTTTTATTTGCAGTTTAAATTTAATTCCTTGTTTCACTTTTTGTTTTTTTTTTCTCAATTAAACTTAACGGTGGGTTTGTTTAGTATGTTATTAATAAATATTTTTTGGTTTTAATTTAAATTTATTAATAATTTTTTATTTAAAATTTATCACTTTTGTTTCAAATTTTGTAATTTATTTCTTCCGATTATTCCAAAAATTTTTCTTGTGTGTCTGGTATGATTGAAAATTCTCTGTTTAATTCGCACAGAGAAGACCCAAACTACGCGACTTTCACACTTTGAGTTGATAAATTGTAGTGATTCGCCAATCAACCGTGTGCAGTGTTTATATTTTTCTTCCACAATTATTTTTTTTAGCAAAAATCCCAACAAAATTCACACTCACTCATATTATTACTCTTACACATTATTTGTTGCTGTTTTGTGCCTCATTCATTCATGCTGAATTTGTATTTTTTCTGTGTTTTTAATATTTATCATTTTCTCATGCATGCATGTTCTCTTTTTCTCACTGCCACTTGCTGAGAGTGATTAAATTCGCTGAATCATTTTGTCTGTGTTACTAGCTAAAGTGAACCTACCTCTTCATCATTTCGGTGCTGTGAGCTACATAATTTATTAAGTTACGAGAGAAGTTTGAAAAGTTGGTTTTAAAATATAGAGTTCTATTAGTATCTAGAATGGCCTGATCAAAAACCGAACTATGGGGCGTATACTTTATATTTATCTCTCTACAGTAATCCTCAAATCTAAACTATAGTCTATAGTCCGAATAGACCATAGACTAGACTATAGACTTGACTATAGACTAGACTATAGACTAGACTATAGACTAGACTAGACTAGACTATAGACTAGACTATAGACTAGACTATAGACTAGACTATAGACTAGACTATAGACTAGACTATAGACTAGACTATAGACTAGACTATAGACTAGACTATAGACTAGACTATAGACTAGACTATAGACTAGACTAGACTAGACTATAGACTAGACTATAGACTAGACTATAGACTAGACTATAGACTAGACTATAGACTAGACTATAGACTAGACTATAGACTAGACTATAGACTAGACTATAGACTAGACTATAGACTAGACTATAGACTAGACTATAGACTAGACTATAGACTAGACTATAGACTAGACTATAGACTAGACTATAGACTAGACTATAGACTAGACTATAGACTAGACTATAGACTAGACTATAGACTAGACTATAGACTAGACTATAGACTAGACTATAGACTAGACTATAGACTAGACTATAGACTAGACTATAGACTAGACTATAGACTAGACTATAGACTTAGACTATAGACTAGACTATAGACTAGACTATAGACTAGACTATAGACTAGACTATAGACTAGACTATAGACTAGACTATAGACTAGACTATAGACTAGACTATAGACTAGACTATAGACTAGACTATAGACTAGACTATAGACTAGACTATAGACTAGACTATAGACTAGACTATAGACTAGACTATAGACTAGACTATAGACTAGACTATAGACTAGACTATAGACTAGACTATAGACTAGACTATAGACTAGACTATAGACTAGACTATAGACTAGACTATAGACTAGACTATAGACTAGACTATAGACTAGACTATAGACTAGACTATAGACTAGACTATAGACTAGACTATACTAGACTATAGACTAGACTATAGACTAGACTATAGACTAGACTATAGACTAGACTATAGACTAGACTATAGACTAGACTATAGACTAGACTATAGACTAGACTATAGACTAGACTATAGACTAGACTATAGACTAGACTATAGACTAGATAGACTAGACTATAGACTAGACTATAGACTACTATAGACTAGACTATAGACTAGACTATAGACTAGACTATAGACTAGACTATAGACTAGACTATAGACTAGACTATAGACTAGACTATAGACTAGACTATAGACTAGACTATAGACTAGACTATAGACTAGACTATAGACTAGACTATAGACTAGACTATAGACTAGACTATAGACTAGACTATAGACTAGACTATAGACTAGACTATAGACTAGACTATAGACTAGACTATAGACTAGACTATAGACTAGACTATAGACTAGACTATAGACTAGACTATAGACTAGACTATAGACTAGACTATAGACTAGACTATAGACTAGACTATAGACTAGACTATAGACTAGACTATAGACTAGACTATAGACTAGACTATAGACTAGACTATAGACTAGACTATAGACTAGACTATAGACTAGACTATAGACTAGACTATAGACTAGACTATAGACTAGACTATAGACTAGACTATAGACTAGACTATAGACTAGACTATAGACTAGACTATAGACTAGACTATAGACTAGACTATAGACTAGACTATAGACTAGACTATAGACTAGACTATAGACTAGACTATAGACAGACTATAGACTAGACTATAGACTAGACTATAGACTAGACTATAGACTAGACTATAGACTAGACTAAGACTAGACTATAGACTAGACTAGACTATAGACTAGACTATAGACTAGACTATAGACTAGACTATAGACTAGACTATAGACTAGACTATAGACTAGACTATAGACTAGACTATAGACTAGACTATAGACTAGACTATAGACTAGACTATAGACTAGACTATAGACTAGACTATAGACTAGACTATAGACTAGACTATAGACTAGACTATAGACTAGACTATAGACTAGACTATAGACTAGACTATAGACTAGACTATAGACTAGACTATAGACTAGACTATAGACTAGACTATAGACTAGACTATAGACTAGACTATAGACTAGACTATAGACTAGACTATAGACTAGACTATAGACTAGACTATAGACTAGACTATAGACTAGACTATAGACTAGACTATAGACTAGACTATAGACTAGACTATAGACTAGACTATAGACTAGACTATAGACTAGACTATAGACTAGACTATAGACTAGACTATAGACTAGACTATAGACTAGACTATAGACTAGACTATAGACTAGACTATAGACTAGACTATAGACTAGACTATAGACTAGACTATAGACTAGACTATAGACTAGACTATAGACTAGACTATAGACTAGACTATAGACTAGACTATAGACTAGACTATAGACTAGACTATAGACTAGACTATAGACTAGACTATAGACTAGACTATAGACTAGACTATAGACTAGACTATAGACTAGACTATAGACTAGACTATAGACTAGACTATAGACTAGACTATAGACTAGACTATAGACTAGACTATAGACTAGTCAAGTCCAAAGTCTGACCTACAAAGTGGATTTTTTTTTTTAAATTCTTTGAACCAATTTTTGCGTTGGCCCTCGTATCATTTCAGAGTATACCTATGTATTTTTTTAATATAGTCTATATTTTTATGTATATTTTTTTGGGGGCCATTAAACAGATGTATTTCTTTGTTATAATTGTGTGCGAGTGTGGTGTGAGTTTATTTTATTTCACATCTTCTTATCGCTGTCATCGGCTGTTATTGTTGTTATTATTGTTCTGATTTCTTTAGACTCGTGATTAGGAGACGTGCCCTCTCATACGCAAACATACCTATTTACTCCTCCAACAACCTACGTCAATATTTTGAAAAAAACACATCACAAGAACAAATTTATTGTTGTTATTTTTTTCGCTTTTCAATTTTTTTTCGGTTATTTTTGGCAAATATACATTATTGTAGCACGTACTATAATTGATCAGTTCAAAGTAAATGAATCAATGTTGGGAAATTTTTTTACTGTTGTTCGAAATATTTCCAAAAAATTTATGTTTATTTATGACTCTTGGGCTTAATTCAATTAATGAATTGCTGCATGGAATTGTTGGAGGATTGTTTGTGTAATTAGTTTATTTAAAGAGAAGAGGTGATAATTTTTTCTTGTGGGTTTAAAGTTTTGAGACGATATTTTTAAGTGTAGAAAAAGTATGCCAAATACATATGTTTAGTTTTTCACGTGCTTATCATTATTATGGTTGATAAGGTATTGAAGTAAAAAAACAATAGACTTTGGACTAGGCCATACACTGCAGTTTAGACTACAAACTGGAATATGGACAGGACTATTTATTAGAATATAGGTTGAACTGTGATCTAGATCTATGGTTTAGAATATACTATAGTGTAGACCATTTACTTGACTGTAGGCTGGACTATAGTTTAGAATATAGCACGGACTATAGACTGGTCTTAAGTCTAAACTATAGAAATAACTATTGCTCAGTATTGGCTATAGGCTGGACTATAGTATAGTCTTTAGACAGATATAGGATATATACCATGGATTATAGCCACTATAGTTGAGACTGTGGAGTGAAATAAAATTTAAACTATAGATTGGACTATTGTGCAAACTATCAACTGGACTTTAATCCAGACTATAGACTGAACTACATTTTAAACTATAGAATGGATATTTGTGTAGATTATTAACTGGACTATATTGTAGACAATAGTTTTAACTAAAGGCTGGGTTTACCAGACTATAGTCTGGTATATATGCTTGACATTTTCCAGATTATAGTCTAAACTACAGTTTAGACTTCAATCTGGACAATCTCAACTTGAGACTGTGGACTGGAATAAAGTATAATCTATAGATTGGACTATTGCGCATACTATCCAGACTATAGTGTAGACTATAGACTGAACTATATGTTAGACTATAAAATGACATTATTGTAGATTATAAGCTGGATATTATTGTAGACAATAGTTTGAACTAAATTCTGGGTTTTTGTGTATACTATAGACTTGACTAGACTAATGTCTAGACTATAATCCAAAATAATAACTGCACTATATTCTAGTCTATACAAAGGACTATAGTTTAGTCTTCAGATAGGTCTAAAGTCGTTAAACTAAACAATAATCTGAACTTTATACTAGTCCATAGGATAGACTATTGATATGATTATAGTCTAGATTATATACTCGACCAAAGTCTAGAATTGGACAAAATTTTAGTTTAGTCTATAAACTATAGTTCAGTCTATATATTGTACTGTAGTCGTTAAACAATACTTCTCTTCAATTTTTCAATAATGCATTCAAAATTCATTAGTCGATTTTTTTTAATTTTTAATAATATTTTATCTATAGTCACACTATTATCAACTCACATGTCTTGCATTTGTGGAATTTTTTTTGATAAATATTGCAAATATTTTAATGAATTAATTAAATATAAAAACATCAGCTAGTGTCAAAATAAAAATAAAATATTTGCTTTAATAAATATTATAAATTGT